TAAGGTAAAGTATCAGAAAGGCAAAGCTTTCTAGTAACAAATTAGCCATAAAATCTATCTGGAACTAACCAAAGTTAGTTCTCTGAAGGCACTGTTAAGAAAATGAAAGCTGGGACTGTGGGAAACATTTCCATTATTTATTTCTGAAGAAAAAGGAATTGGTCTCATAGCTGACCCTTTGGTACGTTTTCAGAGGCAGTTAATCACATAGAAGAGTGGTTATAGTTTTGTAGAGTAGGTGGTGGATTTGAACTGTATACCTTTGGGACTGCAGTGCAGTTTCTTACCGCTAGGCTGCCAGAGCTCCCCAATACATATATCTAGGATCTGTTGAACATAGGGTTATTATGACCCGGAATTGCTCAAGGGCCCCTTTAGGAGCCTTCGTGGTGCAGTGTAGTAAGCACTGACCTACTCACTCAAAGTTCAGCTGCTCTGTAAGAGAAAGATGAGGCCGTCTGTTTTTGTAAAGATGTATAGCCTTGGAAACCCTACTCTGTCCTGTAGGGTCATTATGCATTGGAATATACTCAACAGCATTTTAAAAAATATGTGTGTATATGAAAAACAGCATAATTGGAAATATGTAAACAAGCAAACACAAAGGGTCCACGGAATGGTCTAACTAGCAAAGGAGCAGGAAATAGGTACAGGCCAGGCTGCCCTACTTGATAGCAGACATCATTCTACGTAGCTTGGGAGTTTTGTCATATATTCAAATTTATAGTATTAAATGACTCTCAGAAGACATGCATGATTTCTCAAAGTAGATAAAGATGTAAAATTTTTTTCCCTTCCTTTATTATAATTACAAAGACATCACAATAAATGGAAAATTTTAACTAATATATGGTTGTTTATTGAATGAATACATGGGTATTTTTTATGGTTTTTATTTTAACAATTACTCATAATTTATTTCAAATCATACTGAGTTTGAATTCATATAGTTTGAAATCAATATAATGCTTCCACCTATTAAACCAACTCAGAACAAAACTCATAATTTAATAATTGTAATACAGGTAAAATGAATGACTATCAAATGCTTTATTAATAATACTTTTTATTTTATAGTATAGCACTAGACATAAGAAAAAGTTTAATTATCTAATCAAAACATTTTCCCTTCTAAATGAATTTCTCATTTGGTAACTACAAAAATATTCATGAAAGCCATGTTACATACTCTTCAGAAATAAAACAGACAAAATCCATCATTAACTTTATGGGGGAAAAAACAGATATAAAACCTAGTACATTAGGAAATTAACTAAGGGAGAAAAAAGTTCAGAATCATAAATTGTTATACTTGAGCATGAAAACACAATTGCTACAATGGTATAAATTCTCAAAACAACTTCATATTTCTCTAAATGTGTATTTGGAGGAAAGATGAATTTTGGCAGCTATGTAATAAATTTTATCAGTTACTTACATTTCCAAATATGGAAAACACAAGGCAGAACCACTTGAAACAAAGTTCTAGAAAAATAGACATAACTGAACAGCCTTAGACCTTTCATGAGGTGCCCTGATAGTATGGTGGTTAAGCACTACATGGCTCAGTGAATAAAGACCTGTTCCCATAAAGAATTCGGCCTAGAAAACCCTACAGGGCAGTTGTACTCTGTCCCATGGGGTCACTGAGTTGGAATTGACAGTAATGGGAGATCTGTAATTGCCAAAAAAATGATTCTATTTTGGCTATTTGGCTCTGGGATGGAAACGTCTAAACTGTTGTTGTTGTTATGTGCCGTCGAGTCGCCTGCGACTCATAGCGACCCTATGTACAACAGCCCTAAACTCCGCTCTGTCCTGTGCCAATTGCACTGTCTCTGATACTCCCATCCCAATTATCCCAGTCACTGAATCAATCCACCTCATAGAGGGCCTTCCTCTCCTGCGCCGTCCCTCTACCCTCCCAAGCATGATGTCCCTCTCCAAGGACCGGTCTCTCCTCACTACATGTCCGAAGTAAGTTAGACGGAGCCTCAGAATCCTTGCCTCCAAGGAGCCACCCAGTTTAACCCTCTCCAGGACAAATCTATTTGTTTTCCTAGCAGTCCATGGTATTCTCAGTACTCTTCTCCAGCACCACAGCTCAAAGGCATCAGTTCTCCTTCTATCCTCCTTGGTCATTGTCCAACTCTCTGATGCATAACAGGTGATTGCGAAGACTATGGCCTGTATCAGACGCACCTTAGTCTCCAGAGAGACACCACTGCTCTTCAGCACTTTGGAGAGGTCCCTAACAGCAGACTTTCCCATGGCAATGCGCCTTTTAATTTCCTGGCTGCTGGTGCCAAGACTGTTGACTATGGAGCCAAGCAGACTAAAGCTGTGTACAATCTCAATCTCTTCACCATCCATCCTGATGCTGCCGATTGGTCCAGTGGTGAGAATCTTTGTCTTCTTGACATTGAGCCTCAATCCATGTAGTTCAAATGATCTTCTTTTGAAGAAACATCAGGCATTATTTGTGATTCAAGAAGTCAGTGAGTGATACAAATGATTAAGTGCTGAGCTACTGACTAAAAAGGTTGAAGGCTTAACTCTACCCAGGCCAACTTAGAGAAAAAGTCTTGTAACCTAGTCAAAAGATCACAGTCACTAAAAACCCAGCAGCAAAGTTCTACTTGGGAACACCTGTGGTGCTGAGTCTGAATCAACATGATGACAACTAGTTCCAGGCATCTGTCATTTGAGTTCTAACAATGACCATTCCTAAATGAACATTAGTGTGCTGGCACCAAATGATTTTTTAAGTTATACCACAAGAGCATATTTTATAAGACATTTTGTTCCTTCTGGTGAATAGAATTTCTTAGATGAGAATCTAAGACAGACTAATTGTAAACCAAGTCTAAAAAATATAATACTTTATGTTAAAATAAGGCTTCAGGGTTTTTCCAGAACATATTAACAAAGTACAGCCTCTTTTTTCATGTTTACTGGAAAAAACCCTACTCACCGAAGTGATCTCTACTTTGGTAACTGGATCTACAGTTGCCCAGAAAAGACATCATAAACACTACTGATAGCTTTCGGTTTTAAGGAATTTTTTGGTAATATTATGTTATGGCTTCTAAAGTATCAAATTCTTAAATCAAATATTTGGAAAATAAACACTATATTCAGATAATTTAATGAAAAAGGAACAAAGGCTGTGAATATCAGCTTGGAAAATTATAAAGCCTTTAAAAATTGGTAAGGTTATTAAATAACAGAAATTTAGCAGACAGGAATGAAACAAAAATCTTATTTAAAAATTCCATAGATGGTCCCTTTTACAAAATAAATCTATAATCTTGCTTCAAGAGTGTGGGTGTAGGAAGTCACAGAAAGCATTTGCTGAAGTTTGAACACACTGACAACACTGTCTTTTCATTTTCAAAACAATCCTTCAAAATAAATCCTTGTTTATTAGCCAAAGGGTTAAAAAAACAGTAAATCTTACATTAAAGCTTACTTTTAAAATATCTCAAACACCTCACTACATAGGATTAAAACAAAAATATAATTTTGTTTGAAGATGTATGCTATAAGGAAAGTTGGCCATATGTATTTGATGACATTATATACAATAATGTAAAGGCTATATGGTTTTAGGAAGTACAAAATCTAAACTACTTTTAGCAGATAAGTTAGTCAATTTTGCATTATTTTTTTAAATGATCAAATTATTCAATTGTTAAACCAATTTTAACTTAATAGGTTCTGATGTATGATTTTGAACATGGAACTGTCATGTCTAGCTCCTTTCTGTAAACTGAGAAAATGTCAGCAACTAATTTTATATAGGTTCAAAGTTTAAAAATATTGACAGAGATAAATTTTAGAAGAATATTCCAAACTATTTCATGTATAGTCACAAATTTACAGAATTAGGGAAACTTACAATATATTTAAGAAGTCAGAGCTTATTTATTTGTGGCTTTCTGTTTCTTAAAATTAAGGAGGAATTATACAAAAAGAGTTACAATCTCTTCTAACTCTCAAATTTTGATTACACTGTTTTGCTTCTAAAGTTAAAACTGTATCTCAAGGTCTAATTAGACTACTTTGGCCCTGTCTTAAAGATTTGTTTGGGGAGGGGGAGATTTGTTTGCCCCCTTTTTTCCTGCCATTAGCCACTTTTCATCAGTTAACACATTTTATGCCACTGATTCTAAACCCTACTCTCTACACACTCTGCCCTCTCTACTGTCTTCAGAGGCCCCAATATCCAACACATGCTAAGTGTTCAACATGTCTTGAATATTCTTTAAATAACAGCAAAATATTAAGGAGGAATCAACATTTGGAAAGTGTCTGGATCTGACACTATTTCCTTTATAAGCCTCCAAATGGTTAATTTCAAATTCTTCTACGTTCCTTTTCAGATATACTTTGGCTTGTCATTGTAAATAGCAAGAAAATAAAATATGGCACAGGAATACCAGGCTAAACAGCTAACAGTTACGCTACAAGAATACACACAAATTTACATTTGAGTTCATGTACTGAAGAAGTGAATTTTATTTACACTAATAGTAGATCTCAGCTGCTCCAGTTACTGAGATATAATTATTTTATCAAAGACAGGAAAAATATATTCCAGTATTTAAGTTTTAATAACTGTCATTAAATTGCTTAGAGTAAGAAGCAATTAATGAGTATCTTTTGAAATAAAAAATATGTATATACATTACCCTGATACCTAGCCCAAAATATATCTAACAATTGTCTTGATTTCTGTTAGTCATAAAAATAAAGGAAAAATATGCTGCAAGTATTTTCTTTATAGACAATTTCAATTAGAAAACAATAGTTTAATGAAAGCAATGTAATGGTTCATGTGAGTGAACTACTATGAAGGCAAGAAAGTATTCATACTTAACAACACTGTCATACATAACTAAAGAATACCTTGCTCAAAGACACCATTTAGATTTTTATACATCTGAATTTTATCTTATATTCAAAGAGAAGACACAGTAGGTTATAATAATAAATCACAGTTAAGAACCCCTTCTTTTAGCTTGTAAAATGTAGCCTTTTGATTTAATAATGCCTCTGCTTTTAACAATGACAGAGTATCTCAGCAGCCAGAGTGGTACCCACTCTTGTGCTTGAATGCCAGGGATACTTTCCTGAAGAGCTTCTTGGAAACTTGCTTCCGAAAGCAGTTCTAAAAAGAAAAACACCAACAGCAAAGAGTTAAATTTAGAAATTAATTCATTACAAAGGTATGCATTTTAAAGCAGCAAAATAACAAAGGAAACACATCTACTTTACAGTAACTAACCATTTGGTAGCTCAGATCTAAATCTGTTTCCCTGCTTCTTTTTTCTCAACCAAAATGGATGGACTCTGCCCTGCCTGGTAGTCTGGCAATTCTGTCACAAGTCGGGAGAGGACCACTACTCACATCTATTGAGTTGAAGCCCGGGATGCTGCCAAACATGCTACAGTGTGCAGGAAAATTAAAACAAAGAGCAAATAAAACTCCAAAAGAGTTAAATGAAGTTGAGAAAATACCCAAGAAAGCAGAGCATTCTGTAACAGAAATACCTACCACAAGCGGATGGTTCTAACAAGTTTTCATGTTTGTACTAAAAATGTTTACCTTTCTCTTTTATAGTATTCCACTATGGTTTCCTTTTTTTTTTCTTTTTAAATTATTATTAAATTTTTTTA